TTGCAGAGGCAGAGGCTAAGATGCATTCAAGATTCAGCTTCAGACTGGGAATGGTGGTTTATCCCTGTAATCCCAGCACTCTGGAAGGCTGAGGTGGGCAGATCACCTGAGCTCACAAATTCAAGACCAGCCTGAGCTATAGCAAGATCTCGTCTCTAAAAAGAAAATAGCCAGGTGTTGTGGGTGCCTGTAGTCACAGCTACTCAGGAGGCTGAGGCAAGAAAAGTACTTGAGCCTAAGAGTCTGACGTTGTTGTGAGCTATGACACCACAGCACTCTACCAACCGGGGATGACAAAGTGAGACTCTGTCTCATAGAAAAAAAAAAAAAAGCTTGGTGCTCACGACACCAGCCACATACACCAAGGCTGGCAGGTTCAAACCCAGCCTGGGCCAGCTAAACAACAATGACAACTGCAACAAAAAAATAGCCAGGCATTGTGGTGGGCGCCTGTAGTCCCAGCTACTTAAGAGGCTGAGGCAAGAGAATTGCTTAAGCCCAAGAGTTGGAAGTCGTTGTGAGCTATGATGCTACAGCACTCCACTAAGGGCAACATAGTGAGACTCTGTCTCAAAAAGAAAAGAAAAAAGATTCAGCTTTACCTGTAACCCACCACCATGGCCAAGGAAGACACAAGAAGTGCTGAAGACTGCCCTCATTTACGATAGCCATGTGGGATGTACGAAGCTACAAGGCCATCTTTAATGCCTGCAACCAACTGTGATGAACCTATGTACATCAAAATGAAGTTCTTTGTCCTAAACACCAAATCGGTCTAAGTAACGTCAATAACCAGAAACTAGAGAATGGGGTAGGTCTCTGTAAACCTGACAAGGAAAACCCTTAAAGTAGTTGGTTACAGTTTTGTCATAGGTAAGTACTATGGAAAAGAATCTCAGGCCAAGGATGTCACTGAAATGTACTTCAAATGCAAAAAATGAACAAACAAAAAATTTGACTCATGTTTCTCAATAAAGAAAAAAAGAAGGGCAAGTGAACTCAACCTAAGCCTCTCTTTCCTATTGCCAATAATGTGCCCTATGTGATAAAACAGGTATGAAGGGACAGTGAGAAAATGCTATGCTTTTTCGTCTACAACATTAAATTATTTATGAAAAATTAACTAAACGTGTTCACATAGTATTAGTTATATGATAAACTATACTTAGGAGTGTGCCATATCAGAAAATTCCAAGAATTCTTATCGAAACACATTAGACCCAGGCCAGGAGCAGTGTCTCATGCCTTTAATCCTAGCACTCTGGGAGACTGAGGCAGGTAAACTGCTCAAGCTCACAAGTTCAAGATCAGCCTGAGCAACAGTGAGACCCTGTCTCTACTAAAAAACAGAAAAATCAACTGGGCAACACAGTAGATGCCTGTAAGTCCCAGCTACTCAGGAGGCTGACACAAGAGGAACACTTGAGCTCAAGAGTTTGAGGTTGGTGTGAGCTATGATACCAGGGCACTCTACCCTGGGGTGACAGAGTAAGATTCTGTCTTAAAAAATAACAGGCTCGGCTCGGCGCCTATAGCTCAACCGGCTAAGGCGCCAGCCACATACACCTAAGGTGGCGGGTTCGAATCCCCAGCCCGGACCCGCCAAACAACAATGACGGCTGCAACCAAAAAATAGCCGGGCGTTGTGGCGGGCGCCTGTGGTCCCAGCTACTTGGGAGGCTGAGGCAGGAGACTCGCTTGAGCCCAGGAGTTGGAGGTTGCTGTGAGCTGTAATGCCACGGCACGCTACCCAGGGGGAGAGCTTGAGGCTCTGTCTCAAAAAAAAAATAAAAAAATAAAAAAAAAATAACAGGTTCGGCGCCTGTGGTTCAAGTGGCTAAGGCGCCAGCCACATACACCTAAGGTGGCAGGTTTGAATCTAGCCCAGACCCACCAAACAACAATGATGGCTGCAACAAAAAAAATAGCCAGGCATTGTGGTGGGTGCCTGTGGTCCCAGCAACTTGGGAGGCGGAGGCAGGAGACTCACTTGAGGCCAGGAGTTGGAGGTTGCTGTGAGCTATGCCATGGCACTCTACCCTGGGGGACAGCTTGAGGCTCTGTCTCAAAGAAAAATAATAATAATGATGATAATAAAAAACACATATAGGACTCATAAATACATGGGTTTATTTTATTTTAATTTGTTTTCTTTTTCAGGCAAGAGTCTTACTCTGTTGTCCAGGGTAGAATGCTGTGGTGTCAGCCTAACTCACAACAACCTCAGACTTTTACGTTAAAGCGATCCTCCTGCGAGAGGCTTCTGAGTAGCTGGGACTACAGGTGCCAGCTACAACACCGGGTTATATTTTTTTCTATTTTTAGTAGAGATGGGGTCTCACTCATGTTTAGGCTGGTCTCAAACTCCTGAATTCAAGCAATCCTCCTGCATCAGCCTTCCACAGCAGGATTATAGACGTGAGCCACTGTACCTAGCCTCCTTCCTACACCATCAACTTCAATCCAAGCAGCCATTACTAAGCTTTTATGAGTGGTCTATCAATGTTTTACAAAAGTATTCCTAGATTGGCTGGGTGTGGTGACTCACACCTATAATCCTAGCATTTTGGGAGGCCAAGGCAGGAGGACTGCCCTGAGCTCACACGTTCGAGACTAGCCTGAACAAGATAGAAAACCCCGTCTCAGGCTCGGCGCCTATGGCTCAAGCGGCTAAGGCGCCAGCCACATACACCTGAGCTGGCGGGTTCGAATCC